ACTCCTAGGCATTTTCCAAAGAGAAATGAAGACATACATCCAGAGAATTGTTTGCACATACTCATCATATCTTTATTTGTAATGGCTAAAATCTGGAAACAGCCCAAATGTTCATTAACTGATAAATAGCTGAACAACGTGCAGTATCTCCGTACAGCGGAGCACCACTCAGTGACAAAGGGCTGTGATACAGGTACAGCCGACATGCTTGAATCTCAAAAGCATTGTGCTCATTGAATGAATCCAGTTATTAAAAAGTCTACATACAGTGTGATTCCATTTATATGATGCTATGAAACAGGTGAAACCAGAGGGACAGAAATCAGAAATCAGATCAGAGGCTGCCACGGCTAAGGTGTGGAGAGGGTGTTGCCTGCAAAGAGGCAGACAGGAACTTTTTGGAGCAGTTGAAGTGTTCTATGTATTGATGCACGTGCTACATGCAAAGCTGTATACTTTTATCGAAACTCAACAAATTTGACAATTAAAATGATTAGTTAAGCCAATATTTAAAGTTATATCTTAGTTAACCCAATATTTAAAGGTATACCTTGAAAAAATGCAATGTGAAAAAGAAATGAGAGAAATAAGTACCAGAATCAGCTTATCTGGCACCCAGCATGAACGCCCCCAGGGACACTCTCTCTGGTCTTGCCAAGTCATCTACGCCCCTGGATCTTAGTCCCACCAGTAATGTGGGAACTAGGAGGGCAGAGACCGTGAGCCACCCCAGGACCCGGAGCTGTCCTAGCCCCTCCTCTTCCACTTCCCGTTGCAAACTGTAAAGGCTATTTATACTGTGAAATAACAATAGTAATAGTAATAATAACAATAATAATAGCAACAATAATAATATAGTACCTGTCTCTTTCCTCCTTTCTCAGAGGCATTAATTAGGAGCCTGGAATGATGTTGTGAATCTAATGTTTCTTGAATAGACTCCAAAATAGTAAGCAGATGAGAGAAAGCCTTAAGGACTAAAGGACTGAGGTTGTTTGCCTCTGGCTTCCTGTGCAATCCCTGGAGGGGGGTGCGTGTGTGTGCGCGTAATTTTTAGGGCCCCTAGGTGCTTGTTAGCTCCCACGTACAGACAGAGCACCAAGACAGACTTGCAGGCCCTGCCTCACTCCTTTTATAAGCCTTCTGCAGAAAGGCCACCTTGGGTCAGCTTAGAACTCACTGCCCTCCCTACCAGAACCCCTCCCTGAAACTCCACCCAGAGTAGAAAGGTCAGTCCCTCTGCTCCAGAACTCCTAATTTCCTTCCTTCTTGAGTAAGGAGGGATGAAGACCCCTCATGATCTTCATGTGGCTTTTTCCTTGTTGCGAGGAGAAGACAGGACTGAGTGAAACCTGGATCCAGGGAATGGTAGTGAAATGGAATGGGGAAGTCTTCCACTCTGAGTGGTTAGAAGAATGAAGGGCAGAGCTGGCAAACAGAGGGGAACAGAAGGGTCCAGACCAGGGAGTAACGAGCAGGGAACCAACAAGAGTCTGGGGAGAGCCAAGGGGGCTGATCTGGGCAGAGAATCCATAATTCCAGACTCTTTTAACTCTACATAAACCTAGTGCTAATGCAGTGCAGCCTTTCATATTACAGCAGGGTAAGTGGAGAGATGGAGAAATGGAGAGATGGATGGATGGATGGATGACAGGTAAATGGGATAATGACAATGACAAGGGACTTGGGAGGCAGCAGGGGTTGGCAGAAAAATAACAATTCTCCAGCCCAAACAAATTCTTACATCCTTGAACGTAAACAAGTTATCTTTTTTGAGCCTCATTTTTTCATGTTTAAAATGACTACCTACCTGCAGGAAAATCTGTAAAGTTTAAGTGGAGTAACATATGTGACAAAAAGTTTATGTTTAAGTAAATGTTTAGCTTCGTATTTTCTTTTTCCTTCCTTCTTTCAATCCTCTCTTCCTCCCTCCCTGCCATCTTTTTTTCTCTTCTGTTTTCTTTTTTCCAAAGTTTCAGTGTTAGTAGGACAAACTTGTTAATAACAAAAGTAGCACAAGCATCTGGGCTCCAACTCCATAGCTCTTTCCAGTGTACTCAGTTGTCCTTATAAACCAGGACAGAGAGAGAGAGTCAGGGAAAGAGATAGAAAAAGAGAGAGAGTTTTCGAGAGAAAAATTGGTGTATGGCTTTGTGTAGAGACAGAAATAACCCAAGGCAAGTTGGACCAGAGGACCAGGGGTCAGCTGAACCTCATAAAGACAGGGAAGGTGGGAGATGACTGGAGAGGTGGGCGGGGCAGGGGGGACAGACGTACCCAGGAGAGAGATGCAGCCTCTGTTGAGAGCACGGCTGAACGCCTGTCACTGTGTGTCCTCCCCGAAGCCGCCCTGACTTCCCTGTGTGCCTCCGTGTGCTCCTGTGCTTCACCCCTTGCTCCTCTCTTCACTCAGCTTCTTTTATGTCTTTTTATTTCCTCACATCCTGTCTTCCTACCCTTCCTCATCTTGCTGCTCTCCTGTATTGTGCTTCGTAGAACCTCAGACACTCACTTATCTGTGGAGCTAGTCAGTCACTCTACACTTACACAAACTTAACAGTTGTTAAGCACTGAAACGCTTCCATCCCACATTGGTGAACAGCCACTGTCCTGAGCCCCCGGAGCAGTTCCCTCTGCCCCAGCTCCTTCCCTGGGATCCCCTGGATCTCAGGGTGACCAGCAATGAGAGGGTTCATGTCTGGCTCCATAGGGGCCTCCAGGATCCTACTCCAGCTCTAGGCTGGTGTCCGTTCCATCCACAGGTGCCCATGCCGTGTTACCTCAGCATCCAGTAGACACAGATGACGTGTCTCTGTGTGTCTCTGTCCCGCTTCCAGCAGGTCCAAGTCTTCTCCTCCCACCACAGCTCTCAGCAGCAGCCTATGGAACCAGGTGCCTGGGACAACAGGACCGCTGTCACGGAGTTCATCCTTCTTGGCCTCACAGAGAACATAAGACTGCAACCCATCCTTTTCGCCATCTTCCTCTTTGCCTATGTAATCACGGTTGGGGGCAACCTCAGCATCCTGGCCGCCATCCTTGTGGAGCCCAAACTCCACACCCCCATGTACTACTTCCTGGGGAACCTGTCTCTGCTGGACATCGGGTGCATCACTGTCACCGTTCCTCCGAAGCTGGCGTGTCTCCTGACCCAGCAGTGCAGAGTTCCCTATGCAGCCTGCCTCTCACAGCTCTTCTTTTTCCACCTCCTGGCTGGCGTGGACTGCCACCTCTTGACAGCCATGGCCTATGACCGCTACCTGGCCATCTGCCAGCCCCTCACCTACAGCGCCCGCATGAGCCGAGAAGTCCAGGGCGCCCTGGTGGGCCTCTGCTGCACCATCTCCTTCATCAATGCTCTGACTCACACAGTGGCTGTGTCCGTGCTGGACTTCTGTGGCCCTAACGTGGTCAATCACTTCTACTGTGACCTCCCGCCCCTTTTCCAGCTCTCCTGCTCCAGCATCCACCTCAATGGGCAGCTGCTTTTTGTGGGGCCACCTTCATGGGGGTGGTCCCCATGATCCTCATCTCTGTGTCCTACGCCCATGTCACAGCCGCCGTCCTGTGAATCCGCTCAGCGGAGGGCAGGAAGAAGGTGTTCTCCATGTGTGGCTCCCACCTCACCGTGGTCTGCATCTTTTATGGAACCGGCTTCTTCAGCTACATGCGTCTGGGCTCAGTGTCAGCATCGGACAAGGACAAAGGGATTGGCATCCTCAATACTATCCTCAGCCCCATGCTGAACTCAGTCATCTACAGCCTCCGGAACCCTGATGTGCAGGGCGCCCTGAGGAGGGTGCTGACGGGGAAGCGGCCCCCTGAGTAAGCTGCCAGTGGCTTCAACCTGCACCTTTTCCCTGAGCACCCCCACTTTCTTATGCCGAAGGCCTGGATGTGGGTAGGGGACTATTCAGGGGTGGATTAAGGAGGAAGGAAAGGAGACGGTAGGGGCCAGTGTAGAATATGTTTTGCCTTGAATTGGGGGAAAAGGCTAAAGTGTAGCGAAAAGAGTACTTAGGTAGCTGATAGAAGATGAATTAAAGACAGATGGGAGAAAACTGTAATGTGGGTTAGGAAATGGGACGAAAATCAATGATTTTGTATTTTTAATTTAATCACTATTCAATTGAAGTATATTTAAAATCTTAATTAAAGTAAAACTTTGCCCTCCTCTCACCTCTTAAGATAGAATATATTTGTACCAGAATGTGGGGTCTGGTTTTTAAAAGATTCTTCTTCAGGAAATAAACCTAGCATTGTGAAATTAAGTTGGGGTTGACATAGCCTAGCAGGGAGCTGTCAGGAGCTGTCATGGCCTGTCAGAGCGCCTGCCAACATCCTCTTCAGAGCAACACTGTCAAATACCTGTTCCTGAAACCGGGGTCCCCATCCTGACTAATCATGCTTAGGGACAACACTTTGTCATGTCACCGCATGAGCTAACTCTCCCACACCTCCACCTAAAACCTGAGGATGTATCAACATACGTTTCACGAGAAGCATTCAGAATAGTACATTTTAGCAAAGTACCCTGATTTATAATGGGCATTCTGTTTAATACACATAGAAAGTTAGTAAAGCTGGAGAAGTAAGGGGAAACAGAGGGAGATATTGTTTGTATTTACCAGTGAATCAGTACTAGAAACCAAGATTTTACCAAAAGTGTGAAACTAAGGCAATCCAGAGAGAAATGGTGAATAGGATATAGTCGATTTCACGTGCAGCTGTGACCATTCCTAGAATTTTTTCTGTGAACTATTTCAGACACTTCTTGGCTCAGACATCAGAAGTCTGAGAAGAGTGGCCTTACCTCCCTGCTTACTAACTGCCTGAGGAGGGCAGCATGGAACCCACAAGTTGTCTGAGAATATTCTTCAGTCAAACGGAGGTACCCAGAGTCATTCTCTTGAGTCTCCCTGCAGACAGCTGCCTCCCTATTCATCCCTCTCCTCTGGGCCATGCCCCCTTCTGCACTCAGGGCTGCCCACACTGCCCATTAACCCCTGGGGCAATGTCTGTCCCATGCCATTCCATCCTGAAAGCCTACCCATTTCTTTCTGATGGCCACTGTATCACATCCAGACCTTCGCTGGGGGCGTACCGCCCTCCATCATTTCTTCCTGGCCTCCTCCCTCAGTCTTTCTCTCTTAGCCACATCCTCTCAGATTCAGCCAGGGCTTTTCCTTGTCAGATGACCCCTGCATCCCTTCACTTCTATTCACTGTTCATGATCTCCTCTGAAACAGTAGGGCCGAGCAGTAAGACACCGTCATAATCTTCTTTGTGTTCTTTGCAATTTCTTTTGCTCTCCTCGGCCAGATTATAAGCTCCTTAAAGACAGGGACCATGTTTTATACTATCCCATGTCCTCCAAACAAACAGCATAGTGCTGAGTGCATAAAGCAACCTTGTGGATCAATTAACTGATAATAGAAAGCATGACCTATGACAAGAAATGTGTAGTCTACATAGGAGGTCAGTGAAACTGCTAGATGTTTTCAAAATTCCCTAAATCCAAGTTATAAAGATATGAAGGGAAAAGGAAAAAAAAAGTAAAGCTTTCTTTTGAGGAAATAGTCATTGAGATTGACATAACAGGAAGGAGTTACCTGATTTTGTGTGTGAACTGTAATGTCATTTCTCCCTAAAACTGAGAGAAACTGCCTGAAGTTAGTTCTGGGAAAAAATATCTCCTTCTTGCAAAGACTTGAAAGGGAATATTTAATTAGCAAAAGCTGAACGGAGCCCCAGGATGCAAAATCCTGTCACATCCAAGACTGGAATTCATTCAACTTGGAGCACGTTACATAGGTGGGAAAA